ATATATATATATACGAAATATAAAACGAAAGCTGGATAGGAAGCGGCGCGAATGAATCCCGTCGATAACGGCGGGAGCGAGCGCTACTCGTTTCATCTCGACAACGTACTGCGATCGTCGACGGATCGTGTCGCGATAAAATTGAAATCGTCACTTGACTTCCCCCCCCCCTTCCTGCCGCGATGTATCGCATTATCCTCGTTACCTGTCGCCTCGAAACTTTTAATTACGTTTCTGACAATCGTCGCGTAAAAGGGTAACAAGTGTCGCGCTCTTTCGTTTGTTCTCTCTGCCCTTCAAATCGCTGTAATACGTGTGTTCGCGCGTGTTTTTTCCTCGTTTCTTCCCGCGTTTCGCTTCCGATACGATCTCATTGCAGGGTCCTTCGTTAACAACTCGACGTTATACGATATACATGCAATTATGCCGCGATCGTTCGACAACGAACGTGGACGTATCAAAATTCTGGATCGCCGGCCAGCTGGATGACGATGCAACGGTTAAAAATCGTTGATTTGCGAGACATCGTTTCGCAGATTGGGACATCGATGGTGCGACATCGGGACGGGCTAGAAAAAATACCGGCCGTCGGGCGATAAATATCCGAAAAAAATTTCACCTCCGGCCGGATGATTATTTATCGCGGCACAACGGAGATATATACACAGCCTGGTAATCCGTGATTTATAATCTCTGACTGGTTGATGTTCGGTTTCAAATTGAAATTAATTAAAAGTATTAACCGTGATTATAGCTGAATGGACAGGCAATCCGTCGATCGAGGCTGCATTTTGACGGACGCCCCCGCGAAACGTAACTTGACGGCACTGATTAGAACGGCTTGGTACCGACTGCGTGGAAAAAAAGAAAAAGTTGAAATGCGAATTTCCTCGCATATTCGGCCACGCTAACTCGCGGACGAGTGAGATGATGAAAATGTTACACGCTGGATAACGTATCCCCGGTGTGCTGGACGATAACGTTGAAGAGACGAGCACCCGAAATGGCGAAACGCGGTCTTTTCAAATTGAATATCAGACAACTAGCTGGACCGGCTGTCAGTGAAAATTCAATTTTCATCAATTTCAATTCAAAAAAATCGAATGTCCCTCTGATATTCCGTTAATGGACTGCTCGGTAGCTTGCCCACGGGCTGATTTCGCGATTTTCCCAACTAAAACCGGCGCTTATTTTCACCGTGAAAGAATAGGAGAACGTCGAGGGGAAAATACGTCGCGCAATTTGTCATAATCCTACTTAGACTGCGACTCTTTTTTTCTTTACTCCTCGTCAAGTGAAACGTAGACTCCTGTTA